CTCCCAGCCCTCCCCCAACGTTTCCCCCTCCTCACGGCCCCCCAGGCCCCCTCTGAGCCCCTAAAGAGCGTTGTGAAGCCCGCTCCCCAGGGACCCCCCCTGACTCCTCCCCCAGAGCCCCTGACCCCCTCAGATCTGCTCTTACTTCACCCAAGAGACCCTCCCCCAGATTCCACTAACCCAGGGACCCCCTTGATCCCTTCTCCAGACCCCTTCTAATGTTCCCCCACCAAGGATTCTCTCTGACTTCCCCAGGGGACCCCCAGAGGGACACCCCGAGCCCCAGACCCCCTCTTGCTCCTCCCAAAGGACTCTCCCAAGCGGCTCTTCCAGTCCCCTCGAATCCCCCCAAAGGACCTTCAGATGCCCCACTCACAAGAAAACTCTCCACCAAGGGACCCCCCTAAAGAGCCCCCTTTATGGAATGCTCTCAGTGACCCTTCATGTTCCCACCTCCCCCCAGCTCCCCCAGGGCCTCCCGCCCTTCACTCCTCCCCTGACAGCGGAGTTGGAGCAGCGCTTCCTGCAGACCCCCTCCTGGCTGCCCCCCCACCAACATGAACGGGCTCAGAGGTATGGGGGGGGGGGGGGGGGGGGGGTGATAAAGGGGGTTGTTGGAATGCAGTGCAGATATTTGGGGGCTCTGGGCCCCTCCAGGGGGGGCTGCGAGGATGGGGGGGAGGCGCTTATAGTGGGGGAACATTGGGGCAAAATCCCTGCAGGGCTCCAGACTCGTCAGGGGTTTCTGCTCCCTCGGAGGGGCTCTGAGGGGGGAGGCAGACTGAGGGGGGGCTCTGCAACTCTTTTTGCCTCACACCCCCCAGGCGCTGGACGCGGGTGCCCACCCCCCGCGCACTGTTTGTGTTGGAGCCGACGCCGGTGCACAGCAGCGTGCGGGCACTGCGGGACCCTGGCACGGGGGCTCTGCAGGGCTTTGTTGAGGTGGGGGAACGCTAATTAACTAATTGGGGGTTGGGGGCTGGCATAGTATAAGAGCCCCTCTTATACATCGCCTTGTAACCACAATGTAGGAGCTGCATGAGGACGCGGGGCTCCCCTCTCCCCCAGACACCGGTGACGTCCCCCAGTGGGAAGGTGGGCACCTCAACCCCCACCCTTTTAATACCTGCTGCCCCCCTTTTTCTGTGACCCCTAAAGCTGACCCTTACTGCCCTTTTTGTAGGTGGTTTGGAGGAACCCCCCCTGGAGTTGCTCCACACCCAGGGGCCAAATGAAGAGGATTTGGACCTTGAAAATGGTACAGAACTGCCGGGGGGGCTGTTTTGGAGGTGCCCCTTCCTTAACTTTATCATTTCATTCTGTCTTCCCTCCCAACTTCAGATTTACTGACCACCCCCCCCGGGCTGAAACGTGGTGTTGAGTTTCAGGCCAGAGGTAGGGAACAGCGAGGAGAACCTCCTCCTCAACCCCCACATCTGTGCCCCCCCGCAGCACACCGAGCCCCTCCTGCCTCACTGTTCCCTCCTCCTTTAAACATAAGCAGCCCCCGGAGCCCGGGGGGGGGCACCATCACTCTGTAGTGTTTTGGGGGCGTTGGATTCCTTGGAGTTGGGGGGGACGGAAGAAGAGGAGAAAAAAGAGGGGGAGGGTGCTGGGGGGGGTGCCCCCTCTCAGCAGCCCGCTGACAAAGGAGGGCAGCCTTCCCCCACACCCCCCCTGCGCCGTGCCGACAGCCTGGAGGAGCTGGTGATGGGGGTAAGTGGGGGGGAGCGGGTGGAAATCAGGGGGTCCCCGCAGACCCCCACGCTGAAAGCCCCCACACCCTCAGGAGGTGCTGGTGCCCCCCACCACAGCCACCCCCCCTGTGCCCCCGCAAAGCGAGGAGGAGGAGTGGGCCGTGGAGGAGGACTGCAGCGTCCCCGTGGAGGACTTTGAGGAGAAGATCCCAGATCCAGCATTCAAGGTGGGGGGGGGGGGAAAAGGGGGGGGGGGGGCGGGGGGTGCCCTGGGAGGAGACTGTGGGGAAGTGGGGGCAGTTAGGGGGATCTGGGGACTTGAGGAATGCAGGGGGTGGTTTGGGCGAGGATCTGTGGATGATTTGAGGGTCCTGGGTGGGGCTCAAAGGACGGCGTGATTTGTGGGGGTGTCCTTGGTGGGTATGGGGTCGTGGAGGGGGCTGGGGGGGTTTGGAGGAACTTCTGGGGTTTGAGGGGCCATTATGGTGTGATGTGGGGTCTGGGGTCAGTGTGGGGGATCGGGGTGCGTGTAGATATTGGGGTTCAGTGGGCACCCAGGATGGCCAGGGTGTGGGGTTCCTCTATTGGGGCTGCCACGGTTTGGGGTCCTCGGGTTTTGGGGTCCCCCCCTTTCTGGTCCTCACCCCCCTTCCTGCAGTGGCCGTTCCGCCCTGACGCCTTCCAGCAGCGCGCGGCGCTGTGCCTGGAGCGGGGGCAGTCGCTGCTGGTGGCTGCTCACACCTCTGCTGGCAAAACTGCCGTGGCCGAATACGCCATCGCCTTGGCACGGCGACACATGACACGGTGAGGGGGCCACGGGTGGGGAGGGGGAGGCGGCTGGGTGGAGGGCTGAGCCCATACTGGGGGTCCTGAGCCCTTTCCTTGGGTGCTGAGCCTGTCCTGGGTGTCCCCCCATCTCTTCCTCCGAGCTCTGGGGGTCCCTGAACTGTTTTCAGCTCTCCTGTGGTCTCTGGGGGGGCCCAAACCTCTTCGTGGTGTCCCTGATCCCTTCCTGGGGGTCCCCAGCCCCTTCCTGGGGTCTCAATGGGGATTCCTGAACCCTTCTTGTGTTCCCCAGACCCACACTGGGGTCTCCCTGGGGGACCCTGACCCCTTCCTGTGTTCCTGGGGGGTCCTCGACCCGCTCTGTGTCGCTGACCCCTCGTGCCCCCCAGGGCCATCTACACGTCGCCCATCAAGGCGCTCTCCAATCAGAAGTTCCGTGACTTCAGGGCCACCTTTGGGGACGTGGGGCTGCTGACAGGGGACGTGCAGCTGCGTCCCGACGCCTCCTGCCTCATCATGACCACTGAGATCCTGCGGTGAGCCCCAAATGGCCCCAAAAAGGTGCCCCCAACACCCCCAGAATTGTTCCAAAAACAGTTCCGAAAGTGGCACTGAAACCGTCCACAAACCGCCCCAACGCTGCCCTCAAACAGACCCAAAAGTAGCCCCAATTCCCCTCAAAATCCCCACCCCCAAAAAAATCCACCTTGAACCCCTAAGAAACCCTGAACACCCCAAATCCTCCCCCCACCCGCGCAGCTCAATGCTGTACAACGGCTCTGAGGTGCTCCGTGAGCTGGAGTGGGTCATCTTCGACGAGGTGCACTACATCAACGACGCTGAGGTGGGGGCTGGGGAGTCCCCAAAAACCAGGGGAGGTCGAGGAGGGTGGTTGTTGTAGGGTAAAAGTGGGATTTGGGGGGGTGGTTTGGAGGGAATTTGGCATTTGGGGCGCTTTGTTCATGTGGGTCTGAGGTGTTCTGATGGACCTTAGGCTCATGTGGGGCCATGGGCTCCTGTGGGGCTGCACCATTTTCTACTGGCTGGGGGGAGGGAGGGGGGGCTGTGTGGATCTTGGGGGGGGGGG